AATCTCTACTTTGCAATCATTATCAGGAAAAACGGATTGAATGGATAGATAGATAGATAGATAGATAGATAGATAGATAGATAGATAGATAGATAGATAGATAGATAGATAGATGGAAAGAGGTTTATTGAAAAGGCTTAGGTACAATTAATTTGAATAATTTTTAACTGCAAAAACATTTGCACTGATACCCTCGATGATTTTATATGTGTGTACGCACACACATACACAAATAAAGATGAGATATGTGTATATGTTTTACATATATATACATATTGATTATATGTGTATCAAGATGAGAATGTGAAAGATCTCAGAGACATGAATATCAATGTGCTGTTTATCCACATTGATATTCACATAGTCTGTCACATAGACTATTACATGAACAGACTTCTGCTCACACAGCAAAATATTCATTTCCTCCTGCTATCCCACCTCCTCCGGTTGGGCATCCCTCTTGCAGAGCAGAGCTCAGGCATAAAAATCAGTTCAAGGGGCAGCACAGGTTTCATCAGCCAAATGAAACCACTGGACATATTCTCAACACATATTGGGTTGAAATGCCTGATCTGGATAAAGCAACACATCTTTAGACTACACTTTCCCAGGTTCAATTCACCATCACTTTCTTAGGATTTGGGATAATCCTGTTGATAAAACTGACTTAGAGGAATTAGATGTTAGAAAATAGATTACAGTAACCCTTGACACTTAGTGACAACATCTGTATCATTTTCCTGATAACCATTTAAAAGGGACGCCTCTCCCCCTCCTCCTTCTTTTCTTTTCCTGTGGCTTGTTCCAGCCGACAGCCCTGGATTTGCAGCTGGACTCCCTCCCATCCAAGTATTAACCAGGTCCAATCCTGCTTAGCTGTACAAGATCAGCCAATGTCAGTTAACTGCTATCATCTACTGTGACTGATTGAGTTATTCCCATTTAATTTTTGATAGTGTGGCTCCAGAAAATAACCTTCCCTATCTCTTTGATAATCCATTTTGTTTATTTATCTATTTAAATTAATTTGTTAACTGTAGAAAAACCTTTTAGAGTCAATAACAGGTAAAGCCCTTAGTCAATATATAGTATTTATTTATGTATTTATTTATTATGCTGTCAACTGCCAAATTTAATTTGGCTGAATAGAGATTATACTCCTCTATGACAAGACCCAAATGATACATGCAGTTTTTCTATTTGTATGTAGGAAACCTAATGTTTGATTAACTGCAGAACTAAGACAGTCACATCCTATAAT